ACCGCGTGTCGCTCGTATACAAGAATGCATGAATTATTATACCCAAAGTCGTCAAGATGTAAATAGTTGGGGTTTTTCCTTTGGTCCGGAGAAAACTAGGGAAGCGTATTGGTTTATACCTCTATAAATTAATGTTATTTTTACTAATAAAAATCTTCAAATTTTTATTAATAAAGAAGCATTCTACGTGTTTTATTATTCAGTTTAATTTAGATATTGTACTATATAAATCAACAGGTTTATAGTATAAAAACTAATTTAACGTATAGTATTAATTTACATACAATAGAATGCATTTTCTTTAATGCAAATTGGTTAGATGCTTGAGATTCGGGTTCGATTTCTATCCCATATTCATAATTATTCTGTAAAGTTCGTTAAGTTTTTAATTCGATCAATTAAAATACGATTAGATATATTTTATTAATCGATAAGATTTGTTTAACGGAAATGCCAATACTTTTGACCAAAGATTTATTTATGTTATGGTTCAAAGTTCTGTTATGATGATAAAAAGTCGTTTGACTATATATTTACAAATATTAGGTATTTAATATAAACAGTACTTTCATCCTTCTTGTTTAAAATATAAATTTCTTAGACCTCTTGGAAACTTTATTAATTAATTAACTAGCAAACAAAAGGTTATTATTGACAGCCATGATAAAATCACATGAAAAATTCAATGAGATACGCCAATATGCCCAACGCCAGTGTGAAAATGATGTTTTGTGATAATTAAATACCGATTTATCTTATTATCACCATTTGATATATAGATTATTGTATTTTATTTTTTCAATGTCGATACTTTTAGTAGCACTTGTTACGAAATTATTACATAATTAATCAAGAGGTGGGCTTATCTATGCTCCATTCGCTAATCTATATATATATAAATGAATGTATGTGTGTGTGTGTGTCTGTCCTTCATGCATTACCACACCGTTTATCCGATTGCCGTGAAACTTTGGGAAGTTGTTTAATATACTCCGGCGAAGGTTTGTGGCATAGTACGATTGAAATGAAACTTTGGAAAGTTTTTTTAATTTTTTAATACACTCCCGCGAAGTACATTTATCCTACGATAGATGGCGCGCGTTTACACGAGCATTCGCGTGTAGTGTGTTCGATCGATTTCAAATTGTTAAGAACATTTTCCCCCTTCAAAAAATATCTCTATATATGCATTTGTGAACTGTTATTTACGATATTTATAATAAGTTCTGTTTAATCACTTTATTTCAACTTTTTTTTGCTAATTATGTATTCGCTCGAGCTTCGTTAAAACCTTAACTGTACCCCGAACAACAACCGAAGTTGTAGGAAGAAATTCGCGTATTTTACCGATCTAGGTATCCCCCTTTTTCCAAATTTTAATATCGACTCAAAATAATTTAAAAAGACAAATTACAATAAAACGGTTTATTATCCAACTATCAGAAATTTCACAACATGCCAAGGAAGAGAGGAAGGAGCAATTAAATAATTAAAATTATAAAGGATTTAAAAATATATATAAAAATGGGGAATATCGCACTTCTGACAATCGCAGCGAGTGTGTGGGCTAAATTTGGAGAATCCGTGCTTCTCGCATGGACAACTGTATGTGGCCGGCTCACGCGTCGAAAAACCTTCCGATTTATTCGTGTACGCACCAGACGGAAAAACAAAAAATATCGTGTATCCACAAACACTCCAATAAATAAATAGAATTGAAACGACACTTTGAAATGTTTTCCCGATGAAAATGAATAATAATAATAAGTTTCAATAAAAATAATAAAATGTAAATTGAATTTTATCATAACGAGTTTGCTTGAATTTCGTTTCTTCTGAGATCGCAGCAATGCGCGACGTGTAAGCTAGTATTAAATAAAATAAAGCTTCATACATGTATTATATAATCAAACATTTAATGTATTATTCTTTCATTTTACACTTGAATTTAAACATTTAATAACTTATGGGTACAAAATTTACTTAAAAGGCCACGTAGTTTCCAGTTATTAATATGATTATATAAGGGACGTCTATTTATTACGTGTAAAGTTTTTGATCACCTTTCTGTTGTTTACAATGGCGTATTTTTTTAAAACTCTCGTTTAATTAATTATATGTACTAGACTCCCGACATTGAAGAAATGACTTAAAAAGTCCTGCAAATATTTTCTGATAGTTTATTTACAGAATAGTAAATAGTAAGAGGGTCGTTTCATTTTACGAATATAATATCGGTGCTATGCGATGGGCCTTAAAGCTATCAATGGTTTCTTGCAATAATCGCGACGATGGATCAATGTATTTTTTAAAACTATTTCCGCCTTGTGTGCACTAAGATGGCCTTATTTAGCAAACCCATTATGAATTACAGTCTCGGCCAGGCCCACAATTGGGCGGCGGGATTGTGAGGGACGGGCTACCCGCGAAAAGTTTCTGGGGATTTTTCCACCCGTTCGGATTCGATCCTGGATCCAGCAGAGCGGTAGGCTGTTACCATAGCCTCTCGGCTATCCGGCTGTCGAATGAATCGATGATTATGTTGGCTATAGTCTAGACTTTACACTCTTTCCGCTGTGCGGGCACTAAGAATGTATATACAGTACATACATTTAAATGTCAAACATGTTCGACCAGATCCCAATGGAGGCAATCGGATGATGAAGGATGGGCCCGACTTATCCGGAACAAAACACCCATTAAAAAGGGCCGGATGGCTTGCTAAAAGAGGCCGTCTTAGTGCACACAAGGCGGAAAGAGTTAAAAGACCAAACTAGCATCTATTGAAATCGCAATATTGTTTCGTCATATTTTTCGACTATTTTATTTATTAGCTTTATATATAAGTTTAATTTATATGTAAAACGTTAATATTATTTGCAAAAACTAATAAATTATAATTATTATATATGTGGATAGAGTCGGGAAGCAAGGCAAAACACGGGTTGCGCCAACGCTACTAGGTGGTGTTAGTCGAGTTATCGAAGGCTAACAGGGACGAAGTTTCTAATAATTATTAATAATAATATGTTATATTTATTACTATATTTAATGCTTTAAGTGTTTTTTTAAGAATACTTCAACAAAGATAATTGCATAAAACGTTTTTGGTATATTTTTTAAAAAATATTCATAAATATCTAAATATTTAGTAATTAAACTTAATCATACCATCATTAGGAAAGAAATATTTCTTATAAAGAGACGTTAAAAGGCACAAAATGGCAAAAGAAAGATGCGATGGTCAGGAATCTTCGCCTTGAGGGGAATTTTGCGCAGAAGCGATATCGTTACTAATGAAGTTGGAACTGAAGTGCGATATACGCTATGCGTGGCTAATCTCATCAATGGTGATGATTAGCGGCATCGTTGATCCCTCAAACTTTAAAAACTCGTAAAATTATATTTCAACCGGCAATTAATTATTGTCGGTTGAAATATAATTTTACGTCCATCAATTTCCTGACCATTGCATCTCTCTTTTCCCATTTTTGAATCCTCCTTCTTTTAACGTCTCTTTATAAGAAATATTTCTTTCCTAATGATGGTGTGATTAAGTTTAATTACTAAATATTTAGATATTTATGAATATTTTTTAAAAAATATACCAAAAAAGTTTTATGCAATTATCTTTATTGAAATATTCTTAGAAAAACATTTAAAGCATTAAATATGTTAATAAATATAATGCTTGTACTGTATAAAAATCATCGAAATATAAATAAGATGTAAATTTAATAAATAAATTAATATATTTTTGTATGATTTTCGTAGAAATCGGCTAAAAATACAACTTTTAAAAGAAAGAGGTCTTAATTCATAACCTGGCTACTTGTTTAGCTTATGTATTAATCCGTCTTCACTCAAACATTATAAAAAATGTCTGTCGAATAAACTTGTTCGCATACCTTAAAGTTTTAAACAAATATAAATGCAATTAACATAATTAGGCTACGTAAGAATAATAAAAAAAATAAGAATAAAAGGTCGTCCTGCAAAAGAAAACAGTTTAAGTTCCTGGTGATTGGACAGGACGGATACGAAGACGTTTTAGTTTCTTTTGTATTTTATACTTTGTGAATAAGAGTATATCGTCTATCTTTTTAATTAAAATTAAAAAATAAGACGTTTAAATTCGATTAAATTACTTTATTTATAAAGATATACCGTAGTAACGATAAAGTACACCCCCCTACAACACTGTTGATTATTCCGTTTTATATGAATTCCATGTTGTACGAGTCACTTAGATTTTACAAATACGTGAGCCGTTCACAACCCGGCACACGTATTTGTAAAATCTAAGTGACTCATACAACATGGAATTCATATAAAACGGAATAATCAACAGTGTTATAGGGGGGGTCAACTGTAAACTATACAAAATCTACTTCTGGCGGTTTCATATTAAAAATTTATACAGAAAATTTTATATTTTAGAAATTCTACCCCTTAGATCCTTAACATAGTAAAATTTTTCTACAGTTAAACGAGTGTTTCCACATTAATTTAAGAAAAGATACCATTTGACATTTTGTTACGTGCAAAAATAATTTTACAAAAGTTAAATCGAAGGAAAAATAGCGAAAATAATATCATAACAAGTTAAAATTTGGTATTTATATGCATCGAATTATCTTTGTCGATCGCGAATGCGATCAACTGTAAGCATTTAAACAGTAGATCTATGTATTCGAACATTTATAGTTACTGTGCATTCTAAGAATTCTATATTTTATCTCGATTCAAAATTTTCCTTTAGATATTAATTTCTAGTATATTAACATCCCCTTTTATTTTATTTTTATTTGTCTTCGAATGATAGATTCAAGAGACGAATTGTAATAAGAAAAAAAAAACCAGATTCTTTTAAAAATTTACATATAAGTCTACGTGTCTCGTCTACATTAATTTTTTATATTTATGTTTTTGTGTTCTTTCGTGAACGTCAAAATTCCCAATTAGCATTCGAGAATTTCGAACATCAAAGGATGATGACCGATCGCTAATCTAGTAAAATGAAAGCTGTCAAGCATTAAACCTCAATTTTAATTGAACTTTTTTTGTATGCCTACTGTATTGTATTGTAGCTCTTTAATTTTATAGAATTGTTTAAATTTCTCGAGATCAATACCGATTTAAAATGACAATTATATAAGTGGAGATCAAAACTGTTAATTATTCAGTGGTTAATTATCTCGAATTTCGGATCAAAGTTTTTCTCGCCGACTAATTTGCATAGCGAAATAAATGCATGAATAAAACGGTTTCTAACCTGCACTCGATATTATTTTTGGCCCAGTTTCGAACAATTCTCGTCCTACTTTTTGTTTTTAATCTAGTAAGTCCTTTATAAAGTAATATTATTCGAAGTTTGGTCGAAATCGGATCATTTCTATCGTTCGTAGCTTCGAGCCATTACTCTATTTTATGCCTCTATTTTGAACGACAAAATGCAATTTATTATCTATCGGGTAAGTTCTTGACCTACATAAAACCTCATATTAAAGGTTTCGTTGACTTCTACATTTTACGAGTCAATTTTCTCACTTCAGCTTACGGTTAGTAAAAGATACAGCATGCTTAACGAATGAAGATAAGAAGATTTCAGTGTAAAGTAGCCTAATCAGGTAATTTTGACGGTTTATATCAATTATTTTAAAATACAAATTGTTTTATTTTATTAATTATTATAAATTATTTATAGAACTAAATACAATTTCTTAAAATACAGTAATAATATCGACCCCCCTATAACACGTATTTGTAAAATCTAAGTGAATCGTACAACATGGAATTCATATAAAACGGAATTATCAACAGTGTTATAGGGGTGGTCTACTTGTAATTTGTAATACAAGGAATTGTGGTTTTCCTGGAATAAAAATACAAAAAAGTATGCTTTTGTACTTTCGTCTTGGAATAAAAGACAAGAAATTTTTATTATTTTATGATTTAAAAAAAAAAGAAAATTAAAGTGTACCAAAAACAATTTAAAAATTTGTATTTGCCAATTTCGTATCATAGTTTAAAACTTAAAATATTTTACTTTTTTTCTGCAATTCTTTTACACGTTCAGATTTGTAAAGTGAAGAGTTATATATATTACATCAGTATATTATATTTATATAACGTGTATAAAGTTATCAGGAAGTTAAAACGTCGAGGAAGTCGATTGTCGATACGATAATTCCTTTATACTTTTGGAAAAAGTCCGCTTTGATAAAATAGTTTTCGATGGAGCATCCGAGTGGAACGGAATTATGTCGGACTAGTTTCGATGCATTGTCCCCTGTGGTACTGCAATTTGTCGCATTCGTTGTTCTAAACAATATTCGCTTTGTTTCAAATTATATTTGGTATTGAAAAATTACTCGAGTAAACAATTTAAATTTTCTTTTTTCTTTTTATTTCCAACTCGCGTATTCCGGGCGTGAAGTTTTAAAATCTCGTTTCCTGTGTGAAATTCTTCACTCTACTCGGATTGCTCCGAATGTTCCCAGCTTTTAAAGTAATATCTCGAATGGTAAAATTAATTTATTTCATTTTTTTGTATTTAGCAATTTAATTTTCAATTTAATTATTTGTTAAACAATTAATTATTCTGTTTTTTAAATTTTAATTAATCAATGTTAAGATGTTTGCGTATAGATTTAATTACATTTAATTGGGAAATAAGAATTAAATTATTTACTTGAGCATTGTATTACAGTATATTGTTTTTAATTATCTTTTTCAAAGAATTCTCGTTTATTATTTTCTTAAATTTTTTAAAATTTAATATTCTCAATTGAAGAATTTAAGCTATTTATTTTATTTATTACTCATAAATTTTGTATACTTTAATAGAATGATTCCATTACTTATCCATTGACTCAGATATGTTTTTAAGATGGGATCGAAGATAACTCAATGAATCTTAAAGACAATTAAAAGTCGAAAAACAAATTTTTCATGTAAATTAATTACAATATCTCCATTATAAAAGTATTTAATTATAAATAGATTCATATTTTAATCATTTATTTGAATTAAAGAAAAGTTTTTTAATTATCATCGAAGACTCTTCGAATCCTAATAAAAGTAGCATTATCGTCTACCAACTTATGTTTTTGCCTAACGTTTTTGAATACACACAAATATTAAGACAAGGTGCCAAAACATTACAGGTTACATGGAAGATTCGTTACTGTACACTTAGACCATTACTGACAGACTCTACCTCAATGGATTCGCTCAACAAATGTAAGGAATATGAACCGATGCTCCGATCCGTACTGCATTTGATAAATTACGAACGAATGATCGGGTTTCACTTGGCAAAAGTAAACTTTGAACGAATTCTATAGATTAAAGGTGCATTTTATGAGTTTCTATGACGATATTTACAACAAATAATTCTAACAATCCGATTCCTTCTATAGGCCTACACACCATTCTCGTTTGTCGTTAATTTAAGTATAAGGTATAAGAAATAGGTTTTTTTTTTTTTTTTTTTTTTTTTTTTCAAAGAAACAACCCTTGGATTATGCACTCAAAACTCATATTAAATTGTTCTGAATCTGACTTTTCATTTCCCTTCTAAGCAATTTGCTATTCGTCTTGTTTAGAGGAAAACATTTATCATCGATATTTTATCGTTATAAAAATAGAATTGAGTGATTACGTTTCCAAAATAAAATTATTTTTAAAAATTTTCTATAAAAGTGTTTGCTTATATATATATATAATTTTGCCTATAGGCATTATGTATTGAAATATATTTCAAGCTAAAAATAATACATACATTTTAATACACGAATGAATTCTTATAGCAGTACTAATCAAAATACAATTAAAGTTATTTCCCTTTAGTGATGGATTATTTTACAAACTTTAAAAAAAATTTAAAACTTTGTCCCTAAATGTTATAAATGGATAGAAAATTAAAAGAAACAGTTCCATAAAAAGAAAAACAAGGAAATATATGTACAACGAAACGAAAATCGGTTATACTAACAATATTTTGATTTAACTTTAGAGACGTTTGATGTATTTATCTCTCTTCGAGCAAGTAAACAAACGGTAGCTTCCTTAATTCTCGGATTACCAGGAAAATATTCGATGAAAAAACTATAAATTTCCTTTATTTTAGAACTTGAGAATACTATAAATTCGTTTCGTGTAACAACTGTTAATATATAACAAAATCTGAATCGGAGTAAGCATACATAATGGTTTAACGTGAAACGATCAAGTTAGTATTATGACTTATATAAACTAAAACTTTGTGTTAAAAATATAACATTTATTCTAGATTTGTTCTATATTATACTATAGTTTTTATTTATTTATTTATTTTTCTATCGAGAAGAGATTATTCTTAATTTATTATTTTTTATTATAATATGGAAGTGTTTTCGCGCGTATCAGATAAAGTTACGCAATTTCCTTTACATTGTTATTTTACCTGTTTTATCCGCCAATTGTTCCAGTAAGAAATTTCAAAATGCTATTTTTCTGCATATTTCTATATTCGCTACTTAAAATAATATTACAAGAAAACTAAATTATTGTAATCACTTGCCATTTCATTATTGTAATATTTTTCTTCCTTTATTGCTAAATTTTCCAGTTATATCTCTATTTTCTTGTCGACAATCGTTCTTGACGTCGTAAGATGATATTATTAGAGAGGTTGCGGCCGAAATTTTTATCTGTAAAACGTGAACGTCGAACGTCGAGCGCCGCTATATTGTAAGCGGCGCTCGACGTTCGACGTTCACGTTTTAAAGATGAAAACTTCGGCCGCAACCTCTCTATTTATATTGTTTCCTTCTATTTTAAAATTAGAAAAGTAGTAATAACGTTTTCGTTTTGTTTAAATTCGAACATTTAGTCGACTCAGTCTTGATTTAAAATAGCCTAAATTAATTATGTAGATCTGTATGTACAATTTTAATTGTATATATTTATAAATTTACAACTTTGTAAAAAGAAGTCATAAATTTTAAGTAGGAGTAGGTTTTTCTGTTTATTATATTTACATATATTATTATGACACTACATTATCAATGACAGATAGCATTTGTTATCTAATTGTAGAGGTTAAAAAGAATGCGACTACATTTAATATCATTTTTCATATAATTTTTAAAGTTTTTACTAGCTTATTTTATACGAATTGTATTGTTTAAATTAAATATTTTGACAATATTTATTTTGCTGTTCCATTTAGAAACGGGATTATAAATTATCAATAGGTCACAATGGTTTAATATCTGGTCACTCGTTCATAAATCTGATTTTAATAATCAAGTTAATTAATTAATTTACATTTATATTATTTAATAATTTGGACCGTTTCCTTGACCTTTCCTTTATTTCACTACAAAATCATTCCAAAAAAGGACATCTGGAAAGTTTCTAAAAGACAAAAGACATTGAAAGTTTTAACGATTAAATAAGAATTCTTGAATAATAAAATGGACTCGTTTCTTCTCGCTATGACATTACTAATAGTTAATTGGTCGGAAGTAATTTTAAATTTGTTGCAAAATATAAAAATGTATAAATAATATATATTCATTTAAACAATATAAATTCCTTGGCTCTTTTTTTTTTTAATTAGTATTGGAATTTCGGAGAGAGGGGAAAAAGAAAGAAATCGGAAATGCCAATCGGAGAAAACAATATGGGAACTAATATGGGTCGTAGTCAATGGTATTGTTTCTTATTTGTGTTAAATTTTAAACAGAAAACTAAACTAGAAAAACAATGAGAATAATTATAATTAGGTTTCAAACGATTAGAGCCAAAGGATCCTAATAATGTCAAAATATTATTAATGTATCGCTCCTATTAATCTTTTGTTGTTTGTTAAATACAACAAACCAGTTGCGAACTTACCTAAATTCCTATGTCACGATTGAAACGGAGATTAAAATTAATTCCAAATCATTAATGAATTTTCTTACTTCATTTGCTCTCCAGTCACGAAGACATTTATTGTATTGTTTGTTAAAGGAATGAATGTTGTATTATTAACGATAACACAAAAAACGTTAGACTTACGCGTCAAAGAAAACAAAGTTTTACTTATAATAAACATTAAACAGACCAGTGATTGAAATTCTTCACAAAAAAAGAGAATTAATAAATCATTTCAAGCTTCAAATATGGTCTACAATAGCTTGTACATCGCAGTATGCCTAGAAGAATTGGATATGTTACTCGGTACAGAATATTTTTCCCAATCGTTTCTGCGATATTTAGCTTTATATATATATATAATTTTGCCTATAGGCATTATGTATTGAAATATATTTCAAGCTAAAAATAATACATACATTTTAATACACGAATGAATTCTTATAGCAGTACTAATCAAAATACAATTAAAGTTATTTCCCTTTAGTGATGGATTATTTTACAAACTTTAAAAAAAATTTAAAACTTTGTCCCTAAATGTTATAAATGGATAGAAAATTAAAAGAAACAGTTCCATAAAAAGAAAAACAAGGAAATATATGTACAACGAAACGAAAATCGGTTATACTAACAATATTTTGATTTAACTTTAGAGACGTTTGATGTATTTATCTCTCTTCGAGCAAGTAAACAAACGGTAGCTTCCTTAATTCTCGGATTACCAGGAAAATATTCGATGAAAAAACTATAAATTTCCTTTATTTTAGAACTTGAGAATACTATAAATTCGTTTCGTGTAACAACTGTTAATATATAACAAAATCTGAATCGGAGTAAGCATACATAATGGTTTAACGTGAAACGATCAAGTTAGTATTATGACTTATATAAACTAAAACTTTGTGTTAAAAATATAACATTTATTCTAGATTTGTTCTATATTATACTATAGTTTTTATTTATTTATTTATTTTTCTATCGAGAAGAGATTATTCTTAATTTATTATTTTTTATTATAATATGGAAGTGTTTTCGCGCGTATCAGATAAAGTTACGCAATTTCCTTTACATTGTTATTTTACCTGTTTTATCCGCCAATTGTTCCAGTAAGAAATTTCAAAATGCTATTTTTCTGCATATTTCTATATTCGCTACTTAAAATAATATTACAAGAAAACTAAATTATTGTAATCACTTGCCATTTCATTATTGTAATATTTTTCTTCCTTTATTGCTAAATTTTCCAGTTATATCTCTGTTTTCTTGTCGACAATCGTTCTTGACGTCGTAAGATGATATTATTAGAGAGGTTGCGGCCGAAATTTTTATCTGTAAAACGTGAACGTCGAACGTCGAGCGCCGCTATATTGTAAGCGGCGCTCGACGTTCGACGTTCACGTTTTAAAGATGAAAACTTCGGCCGCAACCTCTCTATTTATATTGTTTCCTTCTATTTTAAAATTAGAAAAGTAGTAATAACGTTTTCGTTTTGTTTAAATTCGAACATTTAGTCGACTCAGTCTTGATTTAAAATAGCCTAAATTAATTATGTAGATCTGTATGTACAATTTTAATTGTATATATTTATAAATTTACAACTTTGTAAAAAGAAGTCATAAATTTTAAGTAGGAGTAGGTTTTTCTGTTTATTATATTTACATATATTATTATGACACTACATTATCAATGACAGATAGCATTTGTTATCTAATTGTAGAGGTTAAAAAGAATGCGACTACATTTAATATCATTTTTCATATAATTTTTAAAGTTTTTACTAGCTTATTTTATACGAATTGTATTGTTTAAATTAAATATTTTGACAATATTTATTTTGCTGTTCCATTTAGAAACGGGATTATAAATTATCAATAGGTCACAATGGTTTAATATCTGGTCACTCGTTCATAAATCTGATTTTAATAATCAAGTTAATTAATTAATTTACATTTATATTATTTAATAATTTGGACCGTTTCCTTGACCTTTCCTTTATTTCACTACAAAATCATTCCAAAAAAGGACATCTGGAAAGTTTCTAAAAGACAAAAGACATTGAAAGTTTTAACGATTCAATTATCTATTCAAAATGTTTCCTATTGTACATTGTACTTCTTCTATTATATATTATATATTAACTCTTCAACTATGTTATAATAATAACAATATGACGTTACGATTATGGAATAAGCTATATCACTATTAAAAATGACACCGGACGTTATGTGACGTCTTAACTGATTTTAAATATTTCTTAGACATATTCGATAGGTTAATATATTTTAAATTTATTTCTTGTTAATTAATTTATTGGCATTTGAGAAATTTCTATTATTGACAATTGTGGGAGTATCGGTATATCAGATCAAGGTCACCTACATTCTGAATTCTTATCACGTTGTATGTGGGGTGTGTAAGTTTCTTAATAACTATTAAGACATATATATATTAGGCTTTTCGTTTAATAATAAAGAATGGTATTTTAATTTAAAAAAATATTAAAGGAATAATTCTCGGTTGCTCATTATACGATTGTGAATTATTCTTGCATATAACGTTATACTTTATTGATTTAATTATTATTATTTTTTTTTAAAAATACAGTATTAATCAGATAATATGCGGAAATATGGTTTATATTTTAAATTAAAATCATTTTTTAACCATTTTCCTTTTTTTTTTCTTTGTTAAAAAATTGTGTAATTTCGTAATTACTCTTCGGAAGCGTTACGAAACTTCATACAGGTTTTATATTTTAAGTAGCATTTACTTTGATATATTCACCTCTAAAACTTTTTAAAAATATATAGCTTATTTATATATATTTTTTTGTGTATTTAATTTTAATTTTTCAGTAAATTCTTATTCGTTTCTTAAATAAATGCGCTATTTTTCATGTTTATTTCGTTATTAATTTATAAAATTTTTGATATATTATACAATACATTCATTATAAATTCATTTTGCCGTTTCTTTAATTTTTAAAAATTTAAAAATGATTCATTTTCTAAACTGGAATCTGTCCGCCATTTTGAGTCTTCTTCTCCATGATGATCTGCGGGATTTCACGTTTCCTGCCGAGACGTTATAAATTAATTTCCTCTTACGTAAAATTTTGTTTTATTAAAATATTTTGTGACGAATTATATGTTAAAAAATTCAAAATTTAATTGATTTAAATGTTAAATAAATAATGATTTATTAATTTTAAAATAAATAGAAAAATATAGAATTAATTAAATCACAACTTTGACCAATTATCGAATAGTTTATATATACGTCGAACCGTTTTTTTTTTTTTTTGAGTAAATCGATAATTGAATATACATTTTTTTAAAAAAATTTTAAACTATTTTATTATTAAGCTATTTTTTATTTATAAAAATAATCTCACTAACAATAAAATTTTCATTAAATTTAGAAATTATTCGTAGGATTTAACAGCGATGATTCATCGGCCGCTACGAAATAATTGCGTGTACGGGAAGCGATGATTGGACGTCGGTCCGATGACGTCACTAACCCGTAAGCAAACAACATGTCTTCCGGACGAAATTAAGGCAGCGAAGAACGATTCCGATTAAATTATGGAAAAAACTATAGATTTTAACGTCGAAGACGTTTACGACTTGGCAGCGGATATCGGGAAGGAATTCGAAATTATTATCGACGGTTACGGAGTCGATTTAGTTACAAATTTAATGACAAAAGTCATTTATGCGCTGGAACATTTGGAGACGAGTACGTTAGTTAAAGAGAAGTTAGAAAGCGATTTAAATGATTTAAGGACGACAGTTGCACAATTAGAATACGAAAAACTGGAAAAAGCCGAATTCAGGCATAAATTTGATCAGGTAGGTCCATTTAAATACCAAATATTAATCATGACAGTGCCGAAATATGTTATTGGAATTCGTTTAGATATAAAATGACACTCTTCCGGGAAAAATCTATCGTATTTATCGTCTGCAAGTGTTCATTTAATTAACGACACGAAAGTAAATTTATTGCTTTATTCCAGTTTATTTTATTCGCTTCTTAAATTGCATAAATATACAACAATTCTGTACTTTACTTTCTATGAATACACAGTGTACTTTCAAACACTATCCAGATTCGTAGGAAATTGAATATGAGACATTCTGTACTTTAAAATAGTTAGTCTCGGGAGTTTGGACTCGAAAAACAAAATGACATTTTAAATGTTTAAATTGATGGGCGTTAACTTGCATGCATTGAGATATTCTACATAAAATTATAGATTAGAAGTCTCTAATCTATAATTTTATGTTTAACGAAAAGAAAAATATCATTTTCGAACCTTCATTTTTTATCCAAAATACATGAAATAAATTATTCTTTGTAAATACCTTCACTGAAGCGTTAAATTTACCAGGGCTGTGGAGTCGCGTAAAAATGTTCCGACTCCGACTTTTCCTTACCAATCCGACTCCGACTCCGGCTAAAACACCAAAACTCCACGACTCCGACTCCACTGTCCTGCCAGGGATGTGGAGTGGCATAAAAATCTACCGACTCCTCCGACTCCGACTTTTCCTTACCATCCGAATCCGACTCTGGCTAAAACACCAAAACTCCATGACTCCAACTCCAAGCCCTGAAATTTACTAAACACTTTATTCTATATGTCTCTGGATTTTTGCAAAATGCACAAACAAAATTAGAGATTAATTTTTAAAAATTAATTTATAATTAGAAAAACTATGATTTATTCGACTTTAGCATTTGAAATAAAATTTAAATATTGTCAACGTTACTGAATTAAGTTATGTAGTTTTTTGTTTAATTAATTGTACTTCATTACTACTGTCATTAAGGTATTAATAATAAATTTCTAATTATTAAATAGTAGTTTTTATAAAATATTTTTCTTCAATAAATTTTACATTTTCTCAAAAATTAAATGAGCAATTATTTATTGTGACGTCGTCATGATGCCGGGTTGCAATTTTTAATTGTGCTTTTGATTTATTTAACTTAAAATGTATGCTCTCTGCCTCAAATTAATATTGTAGTGTCTTGCATCTATATATTGTACTTTTCTGTTAGCTGATTTGCTAATGGTAGTGCCGGTCGTCTAACTAACTCCTTTTGGGGAAAATTTTCAAATTGAATTAACGTGACTTCCAGTTTACGTTGGAAGTTCGTATATAGTTAGTCGGCAATCTTGCCCCTGAGCTTTCTGTATCTGGTCTACAGTTTCATTTATGTAATGCTGTTCTTGAGATTAAGAAAAGATGGACAGATGACGGTGGAAATTTATAGATCTACAATTTTTTCAAATTGCAGCCCAATTACTAAATTACTAATTATTTGTAAATTTTGAAAAGTAATTTTAACCAAGAATTATTATGATTGATACCTAATTTTTGCACATAAACATATTGTAGAAACGTGCTTTGTATTGAAGTGAATTATAAAGATAATAATTTAATCAAGCTAAAATTGCAACATTTGTTTACAAGTTGCTTATTTATATATATTGTATATTGCTAAGAAAAGTTTAGGAACAAAACTCTTCCTAGATTTCTTGGTGAATTTTAATGATTTGGATGTCAATAGAGTTAGGTCTGCAGATTTGCAACAAACTTTGTTTTCAGATCTGAGGTTCTGTTCTGGAGATAGGTTCCAAAATTTCTGAAAATTTTCCAAATATCATTTTGTATAGGGAGTGGATAAGAAACTTTTACATTGAACTGTTACAAAATCTCAACAATGTGAGATTCACTGAATTGTTTGCAAGTAGGACTAGGGCAGAGAAAGTTTTGTTATATTGGATTTGCCACCTTAAATGTGATAGACAAAGAAGTTTTATAATTGGTTTTTGCAGATGGTGTTGAGAGCATGAATACATTTGACATAGTCCATACTAAAGTAGCTTTTGATAGACATTAAATTTCTGGTTTTAAATGATCATTTTAGGCTAACAAATTTTGGTAAACTGGTTTAAAATTATTAAAAAGTAATGAGCAATTACTTATTGTGATATTATCACAATGCTGGGCTGCAATTTTTAAATTAAATCATGTGACTTCTACTCCAGACCAGAAGTTTGTATATAGTTAATTGGGAACTATTCAACATCTAGATCTTGATTTTTATTTATCTAATTCCATTTTCAAGATTAACCATTTACAGACAAATGACAGTGGAAAGCTATAGGTCTGCAATTTGAAAATAGCAGCCCAATTACATACTGCTTGCAAATACATAATTATTTATTTTACTAATATTTTTTATTTATCTTCAAGTACAGAAGATCATAATTTCAATATAGTCTGTGTGTAGTTTTAGGCTAAATGTATCATGGAAAAAACACTCCTACAACAAAACAGTTTTCTTTTAAATATTACTATTCAAAAATTTTAGATTCATTGGATTATTATAGATCTGTGGGAAAATTATAAATAATAAATAACTACATTTGTATGAAATTAAAGTTTTAATTATTTTATAATTTGTATATACATTTATGTCATCAAATAGTATGTAGATAACACTACAATAGGGCTATCAGATATTTGAGTAGAAATTGTTCATTTTTTTCAAATAGACAATTTTATTTTTATTTTTGTATATATGATTCTGAAAGATGGTATTAACTTTCTTTTGGCAGAATTTTACACTTTAATCATGTCACCTCTGTTTATTGTAATTGTTTTCAAACAATGTATCATATGAAAACAAATTTTGTTTTCTAAAATTTTTGACTTTGATGGTCAATTTTCAGGAATCTTATAAAAAGTAATCTGTACAGATGTAAGGTCATAGTTTAAACTTTAATGACAAATTTAAAGATGTTGGATTTCTTGATGCTAAATAGATACACCCAAAATGAAGAAAATGCTGTATTTTACATCTATAATGATGTAAAATATAGATGATGCGAGAACTTAAAATGATTTAGATTTGTGTATAGATTAATTCACTCTGTGAATAAAAATATTAAAGGCAATTACACTTTTAGTGATTTTCCTTTGGTATATTTGTAGATATTAGAGTTTAAATTTGTGAATGAATTTTTACATCACAAGATATTTGAATATTTAAATGTATTAATGAAATCAGTTTAACTACTTGTATATTTGCTTCATACGTTATCAATAATATGAATAAAAATATAAAATTAACTGTACATATCGTTAGGGAATAATTTATTTTACATTTATTGCACTTATATTCTAAAAATATTTATAAATTACTTTTATCTATACTAATATTATAAAGAGGTAATGTTTGTATGTATGTATGTAAGTTTCTTTGCAGCAGGTAATCTCCGAAACTACTCATCCGATTTCAAAAATTCTTTCACCAATATTTAAAATGGAATCTCAGGGTGGACATAGGCTGTATANAAAAATTTTGATTGGTTAGCTGCTGAATAACAAAAATAATTCAGCTTCAATGAGCAGTCATTTATTGTGACATTGTCATGATGCTGGGCTGCAATTTTTAATTTATTTCATTTAAAATATATGCTTTCCATCTCAAATTAGTAGTGTCTCGCCCATGTATATCATACTTTTTCCATTATCAATGGAGTGGTGCCAGTCATCTATTAACTGCTTTCAGGGGAAAGTTTTGAATTGAAATAATGTGACTTCTGGTTTGCATTAGAAGTTTGTACATAGTTAACTGGGGGCTTCCTGCCTCTAAGGTTTTCGTATCTGGTCTTGTCTTTTGTCTATCTAACTCTGTTTGTGAGATTAAGAAAAGACAGACGGGCGACAGTGGGAATTTATAGGTGTACATTTTATTCAAATTGCAATCTTTGATGATCCAATGTCAAAGACACAGTATTAAAAATTTTTCTGAAACATCACTCAGGTAATTACAGTAGAGCATTGATTATCCAAATCAATTGGGGACTGGGGTTGGTCAGATAACTGAAAAAACGGATAACCGAAAAATATGAAAAAATACATTACTAGTATAGTATATTAGTATATTCCATGTAATTAGTATATTAGTATATCGCTATTAACCAACTTCGCGTTGAATTTTCATCGATGTTAAGCCTAACAAAAATTTTTTAAAATAATAATTGTCGCTATTGTATCGTTAAAAATTAGAAAATTAAACCTCGTTTAAATACTGGCTCCCTTTAATGGTCGAGCCAGTGTTGCCAGCTAAAACACGTAAAATTAATATTAAAGTAGCCAAAACATAGCCAAATATTATTGCGCCACATCACTAGCGGACATATGAATTTGCCGACTAGAACGCGGTCGGTTAACCGATGTGATGGTTGATCGGGGGTCGGATAATCAATGCTCTCTGTAATTATCTGTTGTATTTATACACATCTGTAGACTCCTGGTAGAAATTCAGGAATTCTTTGCAAATTACATATTTACATGATCCAAAATTAAACTGACCCAAAATTATTTGTATGGTCATTATTATTTGAAAGTAAATTAATCCTTGAGACTAAAATTCATGTTAATAAATTTTATTACAGTTTACAATAATTGCAACTTACATTTAACAATAAGTTTCTTGTACAGTATATCAAAATAAGGTATTTGACAAAGAACTGATTTTTGTGTATTTTTAAATATTAAGATTTGAATAATTAAAATGTATAATTAATATACAGTAAAACCTCACTTATTTGGCCATCTTTGGGATATACAATTTCTGGCCACATAATAAAGTTTTTACTATAGGTTAATTTTTAAATCAACCAATCTTTTCTACCAAAGATCTATTGTTTAATTTTTTGAAAATATTCAATTAAAATAAACATTTTTTTCAATCTTACAATGTTATCCAAAGATAACAATTTATGTTTTAAAACACAGCACTTTACAAAACCTAGAATTGAAATACA